ATGATGCAGACCACATGTCAATCTATCGCGTATCATTAATATCCCTTTCTTAATGATCATCGATTGAGGCGATTTTAGAGTTATACTTTATCAATTAACAACTCACTCTGCTAATGACAGTATCAACTCAAGGGAGCAATTAATTAATAAATTGCAAACAATCAAACAATTATTTAATTAATTACAATACCATAATTATAATCCAATATAATTATTAATGTGATCATGTATATATGTCCTTAAAATGATTGTCTCTAGGACACATATACCAACAGTGACCCTCCAGGGTCTTGATTGTTTTGTGTTCCAAAGTTGTTGTCAATAGTTTCACTACATGCTTCCGTCTGATCATATTTTGTTTTGAGCCTTATAGTGAAGTTATCTATTTCTGGAATCTTCACATAACATGTAGCTAGCTCAGTGTCTTACTAAAAGTAGTGCCCAAAATTCGATTATTTGTTGTTTTTTTTTTTTTTTTTTTCAGCCACGGTTCTGGAATTATGCTCCGACTAATCCGTTGGTCGACCCGGGTCGCACACCTGGCAGTGGTGGGTGAGTCTCCCAACAAGGGTTTTCTGCATCCACAAAGACTCGAACCCGAGACCTTGCTTAAGCGACATCAAGCTGCTTACCACTTGAGTTAACCCATATTGTTTGTTGTTTGTTGTTTGTTGCAGCAATAGCGTTGTTGAGTCTTATACCATTTTCACTATATTAACATTCTCTTTAGTTTTTAAATTCTTCGTAAAAGTTGTAGTTTGTCTTATCATTTCATATTTTCAAGGATCACTTGAAAATCTGATCGCCTAGTAAAGTTATGCTCGATATATATCGTTTGCACATAAGTGGCCTGTTTATATTTTAGCAGCATTGCTGTTCTGTTTGGAGATGATTCACCATTTTAGCTTACTTGTTCGTGTTTGGAGTCTACATAAAAATTCTAGATGTGTGTCTTGACCTTGTATTAGAGAAAGAACCACATCAATACTTATTTTCTACTTGAGTTTACTTAATGAATTAATGAATTTATTGTTTGGAAAAAAAATAAAGGAAAAATAAATGGCAAGAGCAATAAATAAATAAACATTTCATAGTCGGAGAGGATCGTATTTCGCCACATGAGCGAGGGCGATCTCGTCGCCATCACTTTCCGTTCGAAATTCACATATCACATAAAAATAAAGTATATATTTTAAATTAAAAATGATATGCGTTTATGAATTTTGAAATGAAATATTTTTTGATGAAATGTTCAAAAGGATTGGGTAATCAATGTACAACTCATAGTTATATGTCAAGTTGCCTTTGAGGCAAAACAATTTTTTTTTTTCCTTTTTATAATGAATTATTGTTGTCTAAATCGAATCATCCCATTTAATTACTATGTAAATAAATAAATAAATAAATAAATAAATAAATAAATAAATAAATAAATAAATAAAATGCTATCTCAGCTTTCTTTGAAAACATAGTCAATGACAAATGCTAAAACATTTAGGCAAACATTAATTAGTACCATAAAACTAAGCATCAACCCAATAAAATTTAGGAAAACAACTACTACTACTACTACATGAGTATACCCCTAAATTCTTCTTAAACATGATTTGCAAATTTGATCTCAGGTCCATGATGAGCACCATTATAATGTGTTGGCTTGTGAGATTTTCCTCCATTCTTAGCCCCTTTCCCAGAATGAATCTTCTTTTCGAACCCGAACTCGATGTCGCCATCTCTCATGTTGAAGCTCGGCTTTTTCCGAGATTCCCACTCCTTGGGGCCAAGCCCGGCCTGGCTTTGCTTGCTGGGCTTGGAGTGCTTGTGGGCCCCCTCCTTTGCCCGGTTGTGCCGCTTGCTGCAGAATCGGCCGAGGACGCAAGCCACCGCGGATATGACCACAATCACGGCTAGGACCACGAAAACCGGCCCGAACGAACCGTTAGAGTGCGACGATTCGGGCTGCCTCGTCATCACAGGATTTTGGTACACTTGATCTAGGGGTTGTGACATTTTTTCCTTTTGGGCAAATTTAATTAATTTTTGGATTTGGAGTTGGCTCTCAAGTATATTAATTTGGTAGCGAATTGAGCAAGTTTATGTTCTTTGTGTGAAGGAAATGGGTTTTAGAGAAACTTTGTTTGCTTTGAGATGGTTTTATGCAAACCTTTTGTAGCATTGATATGGTTTATTTGAATATTTTTTTGTTTAAAAAAAAAGAAAAAAAATAAAATAAAATAAAGGAGTGGCTTTCTTTAATAAAGGGGCTACTAAAGACATTCTTGGTTGGTCCCTTTTTTTAACACAAATGGGGAGAAGAATATTTTGTAGCTTAGTGATGAAAGAAAGCTAGGTTTTGGCTCCTTTATTTAATAATAATATCACATTAACCAATGAAAGAGGAAGGCACAGCACAGGAGATTTATCAGTGCTTTCCCTTTACTGTTGGTTTGAACAAAGGTTTGAACATTGACACGCCGCTATTGGTTGTGATGTGTTGTCGGGGCACCATGTTTGATTGTTATAACACATCTTTTAAGGGTGTGTTATGAGAAGACAAGGGAGTGATTTCGATTGTGGAAAAGAGATGAGAGGAGAGGTGATGTAAAATATCTTGGTTGGAGAAATTATTTAGGTGGGAATTGGAGAGAAAATGATAACCTTTGTTTTGTTAAAAAATTAATGGGTGGGAAATAGAAATAAAACTAGTGCGTAGCCTGTGCGATGCACGGGAAAAAATAATATTATTATTGTATTCACTACAAGAAAATGTTGAAATTGCAACGGAAATCTAGTATAAAAGAATTATTCCAATGACAATTTCAACGGATATTTTAATACTATTATTTCCGCTGGAATTTTTCAATGGATTCCAATGAAAATTCCAACAAAAACATTCAGTTTGAATGAGTTTTCCATTGGAATTTCCGTTGGATTTTGACGATTTCAACAGTGGATTTTTCAACGGGGGTGGAAAAAAAATCCCAACGGAATTTGCATATTCTAACGGAAATTCCTACGATAAAAAGCCGTTGAAAATATAGTCGTTGGAATCTTCAAATTCCATCTAAAATTTCAATGAAAAACACATTCCAATGGAAGTAATACCATTGAAAATATCCGTCGGATTTTCCATTAGAATATATTACCATATATTTTTCGTTGGAATATAATTTTTTTGTAGTGATTATAAATTAAATAAAGAAATGACATTAATCATGATTTATCAATTATTTTAAAATTAAACCAAGTTGGACACAGTTCGACTGGATGGATCGAGAACCGGTTTATAACCAGTCTAGTTCACTTGAATAAAATATTTACTATCAAGTTCGTCAACACAGTCGGTTGTACTGGTAGGATCGACATGATTTTCTGAATAAATTTAGTTCCATTTAAAATTATTTTAAAAAAAATTACATATTTAAATAAAATTTCCCTATCGTTCTGTCAAAATAAATAAATAAATAAATAAAATAGTTATTTATAACTATTTATCAATTAGTTATAACATTAGAATTATAAAGTGTTTAGATATTTTTTTCCCAAAACGACAGACGTAACTATATTAAAACTCAAAAGCGGACATAGTTCGAATACAGAGAGATCCAAAATAATCGAAATAGAAAAATGAGAGACACGCATCAAGCGGCCTAGAACCTCAACAAAGATAACTAAAAAAACCAACTACAAGGCAAACTAAAGAGATAATCTCCACCACTGCTACAAAGCCTAGGAAGGGGCTCATCCCAACCAAAGAAAGAAACCAAAACAAGACTAGCAAGAAGAAACAGCAAAGAAAAAATCCCTCCATTCTTCTAGAGCCATCTGAGGGAGTTTATGATCTGGGATAAGGGTGCTCTGGAAGATCCACAAATTCATCGACTTCCAAAGCCACCAAAGAATGTATGTGGTGAGCTGAATTCTGTCTTATGCCACTTCAGAATAGTCGAGGGAACAAACACTATACCACCAAGCTCTGAATGAATCTGTAAAGCCAAGCAAACCATCCCATTGCAAATGACTAAATTTCCAAATTCTGACAACTCTACTGCAAGAGAATAAGATATATGTTCAGTGGTCTCAACTGCTTCCCCACAAATAGAACAAGTAGTATCAATCTCCACCCCTCTTTTCTTTAAGCGAACTGCTATAGGAAGTGTGCCTGAAATGCACTTCCAAATAAAGTGCTTGATTTTGTTTGCAATTTTTAGATTCCAATGTCTGTATTGATAGCCTTCTGACCTGTCATACTTTTGCTACATTCAGGAAGATCAGAGAGCAAGATCTTTAGCTGACAGAGATGTTTATAAGTCACAGCAACAAAAAATTGTCCTTTTCTGTCCAATTCCCAGTATAGCATGTCTTTCGTGCTAGGGTGAAGAGATGATATTCTAAGAATAGCCTGACTGTCAGTCTCATTAAAAACCTGTTGAATAAACCAATCATTCCACTATGAGCCATTGATATGCATAAGGTCTCTAACTCAGATAAGGTGGTCTCTACCAATTGGAATGAGAGAAGGAGATGGATTGGAGAGACCTGGGACCCAGTTAAAGTCAGAGGTTCTAGTGCTATCCCCATTTCTGATTTCAGTTTTAAGCCATTTGGCAANNAAAAAAAAAAAAAAAAAAAAAAATGCATCATGTCCATCCAACAGTTCCACATCCAAGATCCACCTTGAGTCTTAGTAGCTTGCACAAAAGATGATTGAAGAAAATATCTGTCTTTAAGAAGCTTGCTCACAAGAAGGTTAGGATTTGAGGCAATCCTCCACAATTTCTTACAAATGAGAGATTTGTTGAATAATTGCAAGTAAAAAAAAAACCCAATCCACCCTTGCCTTTTGGAAGGGACAAAAAACTCCATTTTTCCAATGGATTCCTTTTGCTTGCTCATTACCAAAACTGGGCACATAGTTTAGATTTTTCAGAGCAAAGAGAAGCTGGCAAAGTAAAGCAAGACTTTGTAGAAACATGCAAAGCTTGTAGAACTGGTTTTATGAGTACTTCCTTTCCAGCTGAGCTGAGAAGTTTAGCATTCCAGCTGGTGAGTTTGTTCCTCACAGAAGCCAATAAGTACTCAAAAACTTCTCTTTTTGATCTTCCAATCCCAAGAGGGAGGCCAAGATATCTTGTGGATCTGTGAGCAGCTATGCCATTCAAAGTTAAGCAGATGGTTCTCTAAAGATGTCGAGGGGTAATTTTACTGAAAAAGATAGCAGACTTCTGCAGATTTACAGCTTGCACTGTAAACAGTCTATATTGCTCAAGGATGTTCATATAATGCTTGCTTGATCAGAACTTGCTTTGCAGAAGAAAAGAGAGTCATCTGCAAATAAGAGATGAGAAAGCAGGGGGCCAATTCGAGATAACTTCATCCCTTTCAGCATACCATTAGAAATAGAATTCAGAATAAGAGCAGAGAGGAGTTCAGCCACAATAATGAACAGGTAGGGGATATCTCTGCCTTATTCCTCTAGATGGTGTGACAAATCCACTGACTGAGCCATTAACTTTAGAAGAGAAAGATGCAGTGGACACACAAATCAAAATAAGTTTGAAAAAATCATGGTGAAAGTCCAGTTGTAGCATTATCTTCTTCAAACATATCTATTTCACACGATCAAAAGCCTTAATCAGATCCAATTTGGGGCCCATGAAACAATTAGGACCAGTGGAGTGTCTGTTAAGAAAGTGAAAAGCCTCTTGTTCTATGATCACATTATATGTAAGCTACTTACCCTATATAAATGCTGCTTGGTAATCACTAATACATGAGGTAAGGCAAATTTTCAGGCTCTGGGCAAGTAATTTAGAGATGACCTTATATACAACACTGCAAAGGCTGATTGGCCTAAATTGACTCAAAGTAACAAGATTATCACATTTAGGAATGAAAGACACTATTGTATGGTTCCAGTACTTGAGCATCATACCTGAATGAAAAAAACTGAGCACAGCCTGCATAATATCAACCTTAATGAAAGACCAGAAGTGTTGGTAAAATATAACTGTCATGCCATCCTCCCCTGGGGACTTATCTGGTTGCAGCTAAACAAAGCCATTTTCACCCCTTCTTCTTCCACTTGTCTAAGTAATGACTAGTTCATATCATCAGTAATACAAGAAGGGATTAAATGAAGTAAAGAGTCACCTCCCCAGCTGCCTTCTGATGAGAAAAGAGAACAATAAAAATCAACAATGTGTTTCTCAATATCAATCTGAGATGAGTGAGCCCTACCTTGAGCTGAAATGGGCCTGGTAATAGCATTGAGCTTCTTTTTCTGAAGAGTAAAGGCATGGAAAAAACAAGTGTTAGCATCCCCTTCCTTCATCCATTTGTGTTTGTCTTTTTATTGCCAGTATAGCTCTTCTTGAAGATGTGCCTTATTCAAATCTCTCTTGGTAGCAATCTATTCATCTCAGTTGAGGCCATATTTATCAACATTCAAAGCTTCCAGTTTTTGAGTAAGCTCAGCCATGTGTTTCTGATTTTGGGATTGGAAAGAGGAACTCCATTTGGGTAATGCTATCCTGGTATTTTTTGTCTTTTCTTTAAGCTGAAATAGTGGAGTTCCCGACACTGGGAGGAGCCAAGCTTTTTTACCACTTCTTCAAAACCCTCATTACCAATCCATCTTTTATCAAAATGAAATGAAGATTTCTTTCTCTCTCTTGGCAATCCCACATTCAATAGTAAAGTTGAATGATCAGAAGAGTTCCTGAGGATATTTTGGACAGAGGCATTAAGATATGCTTGAGACCAATTCAAAGAGCCAAAAGCTCTGTCTAGTTTCTCTTGTACTAAATTAGGGCTAGCTCTGTTGTTGCACCAAGTGTAAGGGTAGCCTTCAAACTTGATCTCTGACATTTACATGGAATTGATGAAGTTGTTAAAACCTTGAAGGCTGTTCAGATTGCGAGAGATGTCAACTGCCTTTGACCGCGCGTCGCAACGCGGTAAAATTAATATTTATAATTTCCTTAACTGACTTCTACCAACCAGTAGTA